CTACAGACAGCGCACTTTCTTAGGAGGCTTAAAGTCTTGGTTTACAGCTGTGGCGTACCTGTTGTTGCTGCTGAACGTGCAGTGCAGTGCAGAAGTTGCATTGCATGTCAGGGCCGTGTGTCGCTGTGGCAGTAGGGCTCACGCTTCTTCCCAGTGGCTCTTGTGTCTATACTGGGCCTCCTGGCTGCCCTGCACTGGTAGCAGCTCAGCTCCCAGCTGTCTGTGGCTGCTGCTGAGTAGTCATGTGCTGCCTTCAGCTGTTTTGGGCAGTGAGTGAGAAGCCCACCCTAGATTTGCTATCTTCATTGCGAGTCACATTGCTGTTCCTTGTGGGGCCCAAAGATGGCTCTTCTTCCCTCACTGTGCCCACCCCTGCCTCACTCTCCTGGATGAGTAGGAGCCCTGCCTGCCCTCACTGTCCACCTCCAGGTGCTCTGCTAGATGACCTTGTCTGGTCTGCTCTGACATCTCAGCTGGTGACTTGGGCTGGTGCACCCCTGGGTTGACTGAGGACTAGAGGTGGCTGAGGGAGGAGGATGGCAACAGTAGTACTCTTCTTAACTGGCCCTGTCACAGGAAATGAACTAATTGTTGTCCTGTGCATCCAGAATGGGACCAGCTTGTGTCCTTAGAGAGCTAAGAAGATGACCTCTCAGGTTCCTGTGTACTGTGGAGCCTGAAGACTGTGGTTAAGAAGCGTTATGATTAGCACTGCATTTCCAGAGCACAGCTCAAAAGGTGTCTGTTGTCTGTCTGATGGGTAACGCACGCATAAGGCAAAAAAGTGAAAACGTCCTCTTTAATGTCTCCCAGGCGCTGGCTCTTTCTGCAGTGACCAGTCATGCTGTCTTCCAGGGACATTGCACAAGTAAATAACCAGCTTGTATCACATGCCCATTCATACATATAGGCACTCATGTGAGCCCTGAGGTCATCCCTGGGCACTTGCTCTGTGAATTTGTGAACGCATCTTATATAGTGGTTTCCAATCTGAAGTCCCAGCTTGTGACCTCCTCACATTGGCTGGGTGTTGTGTCATCCTAGATATAGTACTGTGTGTGTGTGTGTGTGTGTGTGTGTGTGTGTGTACAGTCCTAGATAGGGTACAGTGTACATGTGTGTGTGTGATCTAGATAAGATACAATATGTGTGTAATCCTGGATACAGTACAGTATTTGTCTGCATGATCTAGATAGAATATAGTGTGTGTGATCGTGGATGTAGTAGTAGTAGTAGTAGTAGTGTGTGTGTGTGTGTGTGTGTGTGTGTGTGTGCGTGTGACCCTTGATACAGTACAGGGTGTGTGTGACCACGCATGCATGCACATGAGATTCTAGACACAGTGTTTGGATGAGTGTGTGGCTCTGGTCACCAGGTGGTATACGGAATGTACCTGGTTTTCTGATGGTCTTTAGTGGGCAGGAGCATGGGGACAGTGGAGACAGTGGTCTCTTCTGTCTAGGGTCTGCCTGCTCCATGAGGTCGGTGTAGGCCCATGCTGCTGTGAGATGTCCTGCATTGGCTACATCTCTTGGAACTTTCCCTGTAGCCAGATACTCTAGTCTGATAAAGGGGACTTGGCTTTAGTTTCACTGTTGACCTAGATCCCTGAATTCCTCCAGAATTACCAGTTTCTCTTGAGTGTTTAAACATAAGATTATCTGAATCTCAAATTCAGAATGGCTGGAAATTCAGAATTGCTTTTCTATGTCATGATTGAACCCAGACTGGCTGCAGGTAGACAGCACAATGTCTGTGGCTTGGACACTGGCCCCAGAGTGAGGCCATTTCCATTATCCATCTTCAGGAAGGACAGGGATGTAGTGTCAGTTTATGGCAATGCCAAAGAGAGCTTTGGAAGGGAGTTGCCCACCTTCCTCCTTTCCTGCCTCCGTCCCTTCCTCCCTCCCTCCCTTCTAGGTTACCCCAGCCAGCAGTACCCTGGTGCCAGCGTTAAGCTTTAAGTAGGAAACTATTGGGGTATGACTGCTGTGGCCCAGTGTGGACTTAGAGCTCTATGCAGCTGTTTGCATCCAGCCTCCTCTATTTCTTGGTGGTGAAGATTGAATCAGGGAGCAGAGAACTACATCCCCAGCCCTTTTTATTTTGCTAAATTGCCTAGACTGGCCTTGAATTTGTGATCCTCCTACCTCAGCCTTCCAAGTAGCCAGGATTACAAGTGTGGCCACCACCTCTGGCACATGAATTAACCTCTTTGTTATCCATATCTGGAAGTGCAGCAGCATGCCCATGAAAACAGAGCCATGGTGCCCTGTAGTGGTAAGTGCACCTTCCCATCCATTTGTCCTCAGGGAGACTTTTCAAAACCTCCAGCAGATGCCTGTGAACAAACTATGTGTATACTGTTTTAACCCATACGTACAAGCCTATGATAGAGTTAATGTCTTAGTCACTGTCCTCATCTCTGGGGTATAATATCAATTACACAACTGGGATACAATTAAAGGAGGAGCCATTTATTTTGGTTCATACTTCAGTCCATGGTCAGTCAGCTCTAAAGAAAAAAACAGCATGGCAGAGCAGCTGTGTTGAGGGGGGCAGTCACAGTGACCAGGAAGCAGAAGATGAAGGGAGGAGCCAGGAAGAGAGAGATGCCATTCCAGGCCACACCCCAGTGATCACCTGCTAACAGCAAGTTATCTATGAGCCCCCTCTATGACTCAATAACCATCCAAAAGCCCACTTGTAAGCACTAGAGACACTTGGAGGAATTTCAGAAATCAACCATAACAGCTAATATATAAATTAGGCACAATAAGAGATTAATACCTCAAAAAATACAGCAGTTACAACAATAAATGAAACTTCTTTATCAGTATTCTTGAACTTTAAAGCCATTGACATGTAAAATAAGAGTTGCAGAACCCAAATACTGTGATACTGCAACAGTCAACCCCATACCTGACAGCTCCTGAGTGACCAACAGGCAGGTACAGGCACACTGGACTCTGACTCATGCCTAGTGGGAGGGACAGGACTGCATGGGATCCATTTGTACTGCTCAGGATGCAGCATCATTTGAAACTTAAGTATTATTTATTTCTGGATTTCTGCATTTGATATTTTCAGACCTCGACTGATTGTGGGTAACTAAACCTGTCTATAGAAAGAGGAACCTTGGGTTAGGAAACTGCTGCAAACTGTAGGCAGGGCTTCCTCATCCCATAAAATCTGATGTCACTGTGGTATGAAAACTGTCTTACCTACATAGCTTAAAGATGCTTTTTAAAAAAATATCTTTGGAAAGGGTATTATGAAATTACTTTTAGTAAAGCCACCAGGCATCTGGACTGAGTGTTCACTTCATGGCTACTTGCTTTAGCTGAATGACTGACAGTCTTAGAGCTCACTTTCCACACTGTGGTCCTGCTGCCGTCCTGTGGGTTATTATTCAATCCAGAGATGAGGCATGTTGGTGATGTTCATTGATACCCTACAGGGTCTAGATGAGTCAACATCTGGATTCAGATTTCTTGGTGGAATCCTGCTAGCAAATCATCGTGCTGAGCCATGTAGACTACCAAATATGCATGACAGTGTTTCAAAGCACTGGTGAATTCTGAGACCTAGAAGGTCTCAGAATAGCATGGAAAACTAATACTAAACACCCGGTTTATTGACATTGTGATTTCTTTTGGAGTGGGCACAGCACCAGATCCATGATTGTTAATATCTTCCCAGTGGGTTTGTTGGGGCATCTGCCCTTTGGAACACAAACCTCTGCCCAGGGTGGATCTTCTGGTCTGGCCTGACAGAGGTAGGAAGTGGGGTCTGTGAGTCCTCTGTCAGCTCTTGAGGACATCCTGTGTTGAGAGACACTGGGCCCTTAATCATAGAGCTGCCTAGGTGGGTTAGTTGAATTTATGATAGATTGTCTCACACCAGTGGCATCCCAGCTACTCAGTTTAATTTATCAGGATTGCTTTGTTTTTGTATTCCATTTTTATGATACTTATTATTCAAAGCTAGATGTGCCACATTGCATGGCCCTTCCTCCAGACCAGCCCTAGCAGAGAGGATGGATGCAGAGGGATATTAAACCATGTGATGCAAATCTAGACTTTCAGGAAATGTTGGTTTCTTTGAATACATTCCTTTTTTAAAAAAAAAATCAAAGTATTTTATAGATCCAAAATAGCATTAATTATAAAATACTCAGACATCAGATATGGAAATCATATAAAATAATTTGTTTAGAATCAGCTAAACATTATTTCTTCTCAGATGCTTATAATTGTGGAGGTGATGACAAGGGCCAGTGTCCCCTCACAGGTGCTAAAGGTGGTACAGAGAATGTCTGGGATTTAGGCAGAGGACACTTTTTCTAGGATCAGGCTCAAGCATGACCTGATACCTGCTTGTATTGGAAGCTTTGTTTGATCATAAACCTCATTATCCGAATCTACTTTAAGCAAAATGTGATTATTAGCTAGCATATTATCAGATGTAGGTCACCCAGCAGCATGGTCAAGCATCTGGGACCACCACCATCATATCTGGGGTGACAGGTGGCTGACAGGCAGACTTCTCAGTGTGTAAAGGCATGCAGAGGGAAAAGGAGGCAGGAACTTGTGGTCAGCAGTGGATCTGCCTCCCATATGATGCTCTAATGTTATCACAGCTGTTGTAATGTCATAGCACCATAGGCTCCTTGGGTTGGTAAAGATGCCACTTGGATCTACAGCACATATAATGATCACCACATAACACTTGATAAGTGAGTACAGCACTAGTTTCTGTATTTACCATCCTGTGCTTTTCTTCATTAGTTTAGCTCATGGCCCTGTGGGTAGAAGTCTGTTCTATGCATGGATAGGCCAGACCATTTGGGTACACTATGATGTCTGCAGAACTAAATTGCTTGACAACGTCTCTCCCAAACCATATTTCCATCTACATGTCACTGAACTCACTGGAATAAAAAAAAGATCTATTGATTTACTATGTCACATTTGACGGTTTTCTTAACCTTTTGTTAGGTTCAGGGAACAAGTTTCCGAGGTTGGAAAGATGTGACTTCTCTGTTTAATAAAGATGATGAACAGCATCTGCTTGAAAGATGTAAATCTCCCAAGTCCAAAGGGTGAGTCACAAGTGTAAAAAAAATCATTTCATGAGAGGGAGGAAGGCATGGGGAGGTGGAGAAGATGGCTACCTTGGAATAAGCACCAGGGCCCTTGTAGAGGCCTTGCCCACCTTAAGGTACAGCAGATCCTAGTCTGTGTGAGGTGGCCCCAGAGTTCTCACATTGCCATTACACAGAAATTTGCAGTTTTGGAAATTCTAAAGATAAAAAAAAGCCTTTGGAAAAAGCTCTTGGGGGCCATAAGCATTTTGGACTATTATAGAAAGGTTAAAAAATACTTAAGAATTTGAAATGTATTGGCTTTAAGACACTCTATATTCATACTTAAATTTTTTATTACTTTCAGAATATAAAGAAAAACTGTTAAAGAGGATTGATTGCTAAATTTTAAGTGATTTTAGAAAATTAAACTGACATGTTGCTGCCACTTTATAAATATTTCACAGTGTTAAAAAGTGCATTTAAAGTTGGAAATAAAGTCATAGACTGTAGTATTGTTACCTTCTGTTGATCGGCTTTTATTGACCAAATACTTGAGAAAGAACAATTTAAAAAGGGAAAGATTTATTTTTGGCTTATGGTTTTAGGCCATGTCCATTGGCTTCAAGACAGAAACATCATGATAAAAGGGCTTGGTGGAAGAAAGCAGCTCACCTCATGGCAGCCAGGAAGCAAGAGAGAAAGCAGTGAATCTAAAATGCAGGTTCTGAGGACAAGACATAGTCCCCAGGGTCATGGCCCCATGACCCAGTCCCTTCATCTAGGCCCCATATCCTAGCAACCTGTTCAGCTATGAACTCAACAATGGCTTAATCCATTTATACAGTTAGTGTTCTCATGATCCAATCGCTTCCCCAAAGCCCCATCTCTAAATATATGAGCCCTTTGTGGGACATTGCTCCAAACTGTAACATTCTATCCGAGGTCTTTCTTCATGCAAAATGTTTTCAGTCCATCTCCAAGAGTCTCCCATAGTCTTAACAGCTCCAGTGTTGCTCAGAGATCTAAGTCCAGATCCTCTGATACTCAAGGCCACCTTTATGTGTAAGACCTTATAAAAATAAAAATTAAAAACAGCAAGTTATGTACTTCCAACATGTAATTGCAGAGTTCAAGTCCCTCTGAAAGGGAGAAATAGGAAAATAGGAAGGAGTAATTGGCCCAAAGCCATATGGAAACCCAGCAGGGGAAACATTAAATCTTATAGCTTCATGTCCCGCATCTGGGGCAACATTTATTATGTGCTTTCCAAAGGAGTTGGGCAGCTCTGTCCTTATGGCCTTGCCCATTGCAATCCACATGACTTATAGGGTTGGCTCTACTCACTGCCTACAGCTTTTCTTGGCAGACATTCTTTGCATCTCTCTTTGCCATTGCAGCTTCATCTTTATTACCACAATATTGTCCTCTTACAGGCTTCCCATAGGAATTCTGTGTATTACCTAGCCTCCCAAACTTTCCTTTGAAATCTGAGTGGAAGACTCCAGGACCCCGTAACACTTGCATTCTGTATGTCTACAAAACCAGCATCATGTGAACAATATGAAGGTCTACCACCGGCTTAACAACAGCTAGGTCCCTTGGATGGTGACTGCAGTGGCCTTGATGGCTGAGCATGGTGAAATTTGTCCCAGAGAATCTTTTCTCTGGGCAACCACATTTACAGGGAGGCTTGGAGCTCTTCTCTCAAATGAAACATCTTCTCTCAAATGTAACACTTTTACATTTTTAAGCCTGCAACAGTGATTGCTAATTCCTGAAGTTCCCTTAATACATCTTTCTTCTTGTCCTTGGGCCAAATATTTGCACCTTTTTAATGGTGTTGGTATTTTCAGCAATCATACATCTTGGGCCTCAACTTTATTTATGTGCTTTTTTCCTGGGCAAAGTGCAAGGTTTTCAAATCTTTTTTACTCTGCTTCTTGCTCATAATTCTTATAATACGGCTGAAAGCAATCAACAATATGTGTGCCACAGCCTGAATGTTGTCTGCCTTGAAATTTCCTCTGCCAGATTAATTATACCTTACCTTTAAACTCAACATGAAAAAAAATATATATATAGAGAGAGATTCTTTGCCAGAATGAACATACATGGTTTCTAGTCCAGTTCCCAAAAGTCTTCATTCCTATTTGAAATATCATGAGCATAATGTTTATTGTCTGAATTCCTGTCAGCATTTCGATCTGGCTCAGAATCATCCATTGGCTTCTACCTATAATAATTCTAAAGCTTCTCTAATTTGTATCTCTAAGTCTTTCAAACTCCTCCAACAAACTAGTTCCAAAAGCTTTTGACCCACATGGTCTGATATAGGCCCAGAAATCATCCCACTTCTTGGTGCTATTTTATCTGTTAGGCAATTTTTCTTTCCTGTTACAAAATACTTGTCACAAACAATTTGAAAGAGGAAACATTAATTTTGGCTCATGATTTCAGAAGTTACAGTCTATGGTCAGCTGGCTCAATTGCTTTTAGAACTGTAGTAAGGCAGAATATCATGATGGTGAGAAAATGTGGAAGAGGAAAGCTACTCGCCTTCCAATGGTCAGGAAGCAGAGAAGAGAGCCAGAGAGAAAGAGGCTGGGGACAAGATATAGACGCCAAGGTCATGCCCTTATGACTTACTCCCTTCAACTAGGTCTCCACCTTGCAATATATTGTTCAGATATGCACTTATCAGTAGATTAATCCATTGATGAGATTAATTATCCTCAATATCCTATCATTTCCCAAAAGCCCAATCTCTGAAATGTCTTTTTAGGGGATATTTTTGATCTTTGCAAGCACACCTGCAGATTACTCTGTGACAGGAGGTACTGTTTCATGAGAAGGCTTATCTTGGTAAGCAGCAGGTAGTTTCCTTCTGTCAGCACCATGACATCTATGTCTGGCTCTTCTGCACTAAGGGCAGAAGCAGCGCCTTGTCTGCTCTTGTAAAGCATTGGCTTTTCCTGCTCTTTTCTCCTGGAGGATTAAGGCTAATCTAGGCCCCTTGGCTACCAGGGGGCATCTGCTGACACAGTAGCATCTCTGGAGTGAGGCCTGGACACTGTGTTCCTCAGTATTCTGGGAGATGGTTCTAGATGGCCCATGGCAGCAAAGCACATGCTTTGTATTCATTTCCTTTTTATAGTAGAGGCATTCTGAATTGTTGTTTTTATTGTGTACCTACCAAACATTTGAGAATAGATTGCTATGAGTAGTCCTACATGCTAAATGGAGTCTTGTTTCCTAATCTGGACCCTGGATTTCATGTATGGCTTGCTCGGATGCCTGAGCACTCCCTCCTTATGGCCTTGAAAGGTTCTTCCTCCATCTACAGTCCTCATACCTAGACTCCTGATTGCCTGCATTACGGACATTTGTCATCCCTCCTGGCTTGAACAGTTATATACTTCATCTTTTTTTGGGGGGGGAGTAGTATTAGGGGTGAACTTTAATAAATAACACTTTCAGTTCTTGTGTCTGAGAATTGAGCCTTTGCTTATGCTAAGAAACACCTCAAAGTATGACTTATACAAGCGTCGTTAACAATGGGTAGTGACTTTTTCCTTATTAAATTTTTGTATTTATTTAAAATGTTTACATATAGCTCTGTGTTAGCATTTATGTAATTTAACAGTTTTAGAAGGGAATTTTATAAAAATGACACATTTATAACATCACTGGATTACCAACATTTAACTCTTTCATCTCCTACAGAACTAATTTACGATTAAAAGAAGAGTTGAAGTCAGAGAAGAAATCTGGATTTTGGGATAATTTGGTTTTAAAACAGAACACACAGTCGAAGAAACCAGATGAAATTGAAGGTTGGGAGCCTCCAAAACTTGCTTTTGAAGAGATGGCAGCTGATACAGGGGACACGTCAAGTGAATGCCAGCGCTGGTCAGGCTGGGAGGCTGATGCAAAGGGTTCCAGCAAATACACCAGCCTGTCTAGCTCAGCATTCAGTTCCCGCTGGAGCCTGCGGTCAGCAGGGAAGCTGGTCAGCATTCGGCGGCCGAACAAGGGTCACCTGACGGACACCCAAGAGGACGTGGAGTGAGCAGGGCAAGCCATGGTGCCAAGTGTATGCAGACCTTGTGCCGCTGCATAAGCTTTGGGGTTTTCCAGGCCTGGTGCCCTCTTCTTCATCTATTTCAGTTGTCAAAGCCTCCAGCATTACAGTAGGAACCCACCGCCTGCATTTCCCATCTGATGCCCTGATGCACTGTGGCTCCCGGGTGAACACATGCAGGTCTGCATTTGGTTGCCTTAAGTGGAATGTATACCCCTTGCAGTCCATGTTTGCTGAACCTGGACATGCGAATTTTTATGTCATACCACAATGACTTGCAGCTGGTCACAAAGTATTTTTGTGCTACCTTCAGCTGCAATTCTGTTTTGTGACCTCTGCATTCTCCCCTGTATCCAACACATGGCCATCTGTGATGCCCTCGGCAGGTGTACTGTCCTCTTCTGCCAGTAGGAGCTTATAGCCCCACAGGCAGGATAAGTCTTTGAGGGTTATGCTAAATTCTGTTTAACTTACAAGTTAAACTTTATCTTAATAAAATTTTTAAAAATTAAATTTTTAAAAACAAATTAAATACTGGGAAAGCAAAGTGAAATGGCACCCCACCTCAGATGCGTGTCCGCCATTGCTGATAGAGGAACAACCTCCAGGCTGCACTTGATGGTAACCTTACTTCTGGATTTTATTATTTCGCCTGAACTTCTAAATACTCATCTTTATTTCCTTCAGAAATTTGCATTTTTAGTTCAAAGATTAAAGAAATATTATAAAGTGAAGATGGATTTTAGTCGCTTGATAATTCTAGTTGGAAAATGTTAACTGTTTGAGTATAGAGTTAAAACTATACACTGAAGTGCCTCTTTTCTATTATTCCTAGGTGTTCAGTTTTTTGAAATGAGATACTTATTGTGATTCAGGTGAGATCTACAGGAAATGTTTTCCCCAAAGATATTTTGGGGGTGATTGGACAGAATCATGCTCTGCTTGTCTCTGTAGACCTGCTGCTGTCTCCAATATGACCTATGTGTCAGGGGCACTGGTTATGTCTAGAAGGATGGCTGTTAGCAGCAGGTGTGCAGATATCTTAGAAAAAGTGGTTTGATAGAAGAACTATATTTTTACTTTGTTAAAACAAAAGCCTCCAATTATATTGTATATTCCTCTCCTGGGGAAAACAAAACAACAAATCCTTGAGCATTTCTATGCTGTTTTATTTACCTGTATGTTTTGTCTAATGCTCCAATAGGATAACTGAATGAACCTGATGGCTGAGCACAGTGTAGTATGTCAGAGTGTTTGTTTTACTTGATCAGTTTGTCCATCCTATAGCTGGCTGTCCATCTGTTCATCCACCAGTACACTCACCCATCCATCCATCCATGTCCACCCACCCATCATGCCAGCCATCTATCCACCTTTTAAGATAAAAAAGTTTACTTACCAAGCCTTGAAAGGAGTATTCAAATAAAAATTAATCTTGAAACTGTGAGCATTTTGTTTAACACCACAGAGGAAAGTTTATGATTTTTGGTATAATAATTGGGAAATCATAAGTATCCTAAGGTACATAGTTGGATGCATGGCTGTGACCTGCCATCTCCACAGAGAAATACTTCTGGGGTGGTACAGATGTGCAGCCTGCTGGGACCCATGCAAGTATTTTGTAACAGTAGCTAGTGTGGGCTTGTTTTCAGGTGCACAGGGATGTAAATGCTGTGCTTGAGACTTGTGCATCATCTGGCTGGCTGCCTTCACTGTGCCTCTGATGGAATGTTAAGTGTCTGCAGTGCCTCACTGACATTTTGGTGCACTTGCCAGGGGCCTCCATGTCATTCTTCCTCTAAAGGTGAAGACTGAGCCAGACTGGGATTAGCATATGCACTGTGAATTTATCTACAAAGATTAATGAAAAAATGACTTTTTTCTTCTGTTGTATCTGGTTTTTAGTATAAATGTTTATTGGTGGGCTCTGGGGGGAAATGCCTTTTCTTGAAAGGGCTTACCAAAGCCCTCACTGTGTTATACAGTGAGCAGACTGGGCCAGCAAGCAGATGGGGCTGTGATTCTGGGCAAGATGGCCCTAGGTGTCTATGACTGTCTTCAGGGAAGCAAGTTTCCACCTTAATGCTGAGGTTTTTAAAAATAAAAGTAATATTTTTGTCTTCATCCCTTGGTAGTTTGCATGATTATTGTCATCCTCTTACAGAAACTTTACTTGATCACTTAGTGCTATTGGCACTTTCCTGACCTTGTAAACCTCATTTTAAGGTTCAGACTATATATTTTCATAAATAAACAAATGGTTTCACTTTGCGTTGTCTAGATGTCTTTGCATATCTGAGCTTCTGGCTGAGCTGTTAGGGTGACTGAGCACCTGCTGCCATGTCTACCTGTGCCCAGAGCTCAGCCATTTGGGAGTCTTACTGTGGCTGGGTGCCTCTCAGGTCCTTAAGCAAATTTCTACCCTCCACATCCTGTTGGGAAACAGGAACATCCCAGCCATGGTACATTTTTACCTAAATCATTTTTGTATTCATCATTTAGGACAGTGCCCCCTGGAAACAGGTCCTTCTTGGGAGACAGAGGCCTTTTACCAACCAGTTCCTGTATGAACTTGATACCTGGGTATGGCCTATGACCTCTGCCTATCTGTAGGTGCAGATGTTCTGGTAGGAGGTGCACAGCTGCCCTAGACAACCTTAGACTGGTATCTCTAGAAGTGGAGTTTCCACTGGCTCTTCTTGTGGCCCCAGGCTAACTGCTGCCCTCCTTCAGTGATACTCTCAGACTTTCTTGTGAACTTGTCAGATTTCCTGTTGTTTTCTGATTTCCTGAGGGCTGAGCATTGTGTCTCTCCTCACACCTTCTCCCTGTGCACTTTAGCTGTTCACTCAGTCTGGTTATTAAAGTCATCTTTCATCTGACACCCCATTGCTGGGGCAATGAGACACCTGCACAGGTCCTGAAGAGAGATGTGATGATTTTGCAAGTTTCTGATAGCTGTTTTAAAAACAGTTGAAACAGTCCCAAAGTTGTTTAACAGGTATCAGAGACCCACCTATAAAGGATGAAAGGGGCCTCTGCCAAGAAGCAAGCCAGTGGGTGGCACAGCTGCCAGGCATATTTGGACTGCAGTGTGTGGCACCTCCTCTTGCTGCAAGGCTGCTTCTTCTGGTGATAGAGTCCAGATCCTGCAGCAAGGGTTGAGTAGGATGAAGTTATGCTCAGTTCATTTCAGGTAAGTGACTTTTCCATCATTTTCTAGTTGTTTCAAAGCTTAGAACTGCCACATACTTTTCTGTTGGGTGATCATCAAGCTGTGCACAACTCTTGCCTCGCTGCCTGGGGCCTTTGACTTCAGTATCTGAGTGTTATCTGTACCTTCTTGCCCTGATGTTGGTCTTGGCCATGTGAGCCACACTCAGGCATCCAAGTCCTGACAGCTGCATTGAGAAGGAAGAATCTCATCAAAAGGAAAACTTGGAATTTTCTAAGAGAAAGTGGTGACACAGTTGTTGAAATGCCAGTTGTTGAAATGTATAAAATTCCCACAGAAAGACTACTTACTTTTGTGGGAACAGAAGGAGCAAAATTGTGATGCTGAGGCCTTTGGCCCTTCTTCTGTGTCGAAAGCGTAGCCTTCACAAGGGCTGGGGAAGAGGGGTGCAGAGAACCAAAGTGTGGGAAGCCATGAGACCCTCACTCCCCTGGCTCTCCTCATCTTCTGTTAAGTTCCAAGAGCTGTCATCAGCGGCTCTAAGCACTCAGGTTTGAACAACTAATGGCAGGGGCCCTGGGATCCAGTAGACAGTATAGTCAGTGCTCATTAGCCTTTGCCTGAATAATGATCTGCAGGTGCTGATGTGCAGATAGGTGTTCCTGGTCTCTGCCTTCCATCAGATTAATGTGGAGGCTCACTTGGAACACAGGCTGTTATGGTAGGTTAAACACTGATGGTCAACTTTACACAAGTTGAATTAAATCGGCATGGTGCTGAATGTAGATGTTCCACCTGAGGAAAGTCGCCAGCATAAATAGAGATGTGGAGAAGAGGAGCGAGGCATTGTGGGTTTCTCTAAGTGTTTCTGTTTGAGCCGTTGGTTATCTTGGAGAAGCTCTGGTCCTTACATTGAGCATCCTTCCTGACTCCAGAGGAGAAGATGTGTGCTGTTTAATTTCCAGGAGAAATTCAATCATGCTGGCTGCTGACATGCACTCAACTGTTATCATCAGAGGATCTCGGGACCTCCGTGTCACTGAGGATGGCTGTAGTGTTTGTCAGGACATCCCTGGTCTTTATTATGAGCATGACTTCTTGGCTCCAGTGTGGAACCCTCAACCTACCAGCACAGCTCCTTCACCCCGATGGTACAGACTTTCTAGCTTCTACTGCTGACCTTTGGGCCTTCCCAGCACAGAGCCATAAAACAGACTGGTGTGAGTACTTCTTGTGGGCTCTAGACCTCCAGTTGGACTCATGGGAGGCATTGTCATGGGTTCTAGGTTTTCATATGGACTCATGCAGGACATTGCTGTGGGATCCAGGCCCTTGGCTGAATATTCCATCTTTAGTGTTGTAGACATACTTCCTGCATTTTCTTGTGTTAAACTCTGGGTGACCATCAAAAATAATATAAATTATGTGTCCTGATTCTAAATTGCTCTCTGCACAACTCTGACTGCAACACAGGCCTAAGACATGGACACTGGGGGTTCACAAGGAAGCTAGCCTCTGGAGTCTCTGACAACTTTCTGTGGTTGGAGTTCTCTCCCCATGGGGCTCGACACTTACTTCTGCATGGGAATGGCCTGATCTCACCTGTATCCTGTCTGTCTGTTCATTCTCAAAGTGCTTCTGGGTAGACAGATAGCTTGAGGGAGAGACACTGTGAGCTGCGTTGCTTGCTGAGTGGTCACTGTGCTGATTGTGGCAGCTTAAGGCCTGGCCACCCATATGGCTTTCTGCAGTCTCTGAAAGTATTCATGCTCCAGGACAGATTCATTTGCCCCTGCAATTCCTGACCACCACCAGGAGCAGTTGCAAATTGTGTTGCTGTGTGGCTGATATATGTTAATTAACATGAAGGGTTTATGTATGGGATGACTTTTAGCTATATCTTTCAATCTCTCTGGAATATAATAAATTTAGAAAGTAGCAGGTACATAGTGATATATGCCTATACTTCTAGCACTTGGGAGGCTAAGGAAGGAGGATCACTGTGAATTTGTTATGGTTTGAATTTGTTATGGTGACCTACAGTGGGCACCAAATCTTCTTTGGGTGTTTGGATGATGTGGTGGCCTGCTCCCAGCTTTTCATGTCATGTTTTTTTAATGGCTATCAAGGTGGCATTGTATCCCCACTTGCAAAGCTGGTGCCCAGTGGGCAGGGCCCGCAGAGAACCCTCAATGAGAAGGGAGCAGGGATGTTTTCTGTAGGGAGGTTTTAATAGCAGTTGCTTTATTTTTTGAGACAGGGTAAGGCTAGCCTCAAACTCTCTATGTAGTCCAGGCTGGACTTCAACTTGAGGCAGTCCTCCTGTCTCAGCCTCCTGAGTGTTGGGATTACAGACTTACACCATTGCAAGATAGCTGGGCATAGTGGTACATATCTATAATCCAAGCACTTGGGAGGCTAATGCAGGTGGATCACTGTGACTTTGTTATGGCTTGTATCTAGATGTCCCTAGCATAGTAGCTGCTTTTCTTGAGTATATCTCACATTTCATTCTGTACCTTGGGGAGGATCACTGGGAAAAGCCTTGGACAAGTGTATGGTCATGCATGGGGCATTCTGGTGCTGACCCTGGATCCACACAGAAGCCAGGTGGACACGAGCACTGTCCTGGGGCAGGAGGAAGAGGCTGCAGTGGGTAATGAGGAGCTTGCTAAAGGAAAGCTGTTTATTGCAGGGTACAAATCAGTGCAGTGTTTGCAGAAAATGTCTTTCCCCTGACTTCCCGTGAAACCTAACTGAAAGCATCTGCTATCAAGTAGTTTCTATGGGTGTCACTAGGAACTTTTTTGGTTTTAAGGACAGAGAGAACTTACTTATGTCCGATCTCAGGTTGTAAGCATCTTTATGCCCTTTTTTCCAATACTAGAGAAAAGGCAGAAACAGATCAACTGGTACCAAGAGCAAATTGATGTGAGCTACTTGGACATTTGTGGAAGGCCAGGAATCTGTAATAGTCTCTCAGCTCAGCAGTGCAAAAATGTGAAGCCTGGGCTTCTGGAAAGTTTGTCCTGATGGCCAGGATCTAACAGGCCAGGCCAATCCCATGTTGTCTTCTTCTCAAAGCCTCGGAGGGCAGCCTTCAAGGGAGAGTGAGCAGATGGCAGGGAAGGGACCAGGGTCTGTGTGGTGGACTGAAGTTTATTCACTAATGTGAACACCCTACATCCTTGTTTCTTTCATCTACCAGTGTCAATCCCCAGTATTCTTATTTCTCTGCTGTGATTTTTAGAACATAAGATGTAACAAAGTAGTTATAATAGCCACTCAATTATCTTGGCAATCTGTATTTTTTAAAAAGCTAGCTGGTCCACTGTAGCTTAGTACACTGGGATCTGGTAGCTTTGGATAGAGGAATCCATCATCCTGGTGATGTGGACATCCTGGTGATGTCTTTATCAGAGTTGAGACCCCGCGACCCACACATCTACAACGTAGTCATTGTAGATGTATCCTCACATCTACAACGACTAAGAAGCATAACAAGCTGTGTGGCTGATATATGTTAATTAAGATGAAGGGTTTCTGTATGGAATGACTTTAGCTATATTTTTCAATCTCTCTGGAATACAATAAAGTTAGAAAGTAGCAGGTATACAGTGGTATATGCCTATACTTCTAGCACTTGGAAGGCTAAGGAAGGAGGATCACTGTGAATTTGTTATGGTTTGTATCTAGGAGTTCCTTTAAAATCTCATGCTCTCATAGGTAGGGCTTTTTGGAGCAGAATGGGTCCAGGGTATATGATGCTGGGATTAAGCCTATGTGGTATTAAATTAGTCAACTCATTGGTTTAGCACAGTTCTAGGTGTGGGTAGTGGATAATGGATAATGAGGCGGCCCACCTTGGCTGTGGGTGGTATCTCCCAAAAGGTTTGTGGAGTGGATGAGATTAAAAAAGAAACGGGGGGGGGGGGGCGGTTTACTTCTT